GCAAAGCTTTACCTGGAACACGGCATTATAAACAACGTACAATCATTCTGTTGTTCAACACATTGGCAACCATTTAGAGCTCATGTATCTTGCTCCATTTTACCTGTTATTAAAGTGGCTCATGCCACAGCTTCTGTATACCAATAAGTTACCATCATTGGTATCTCTGTCTTTGCCGATTTATAGCTTCCATGAACTGTTCATCTGCAGCAGTATGAATAGAAACACATATTAGTAGGAAACGGAATAACATTTATCTTCATTCATTTTTTCCCAATAAACCTAGATTGTTGTTATTATGACATGTTCAGTTGCAAACAGAACATATCTACTAATACAAGTGTTGCAACGCTTGATTGACTCGGACATCAGATATGGCATGTCGCATATGATTCTTTTCAAAACAGAATTTAATGAGTTTGCATTATATGTTATAGCAAACTTTAGCGTTTGTCACAATGCATACAAGTTCATAACCAAAAAATTAATTTAGCCCTCACATATACTTACAATACAACCTTTGCTTAAACATGTGATCCACTTTTAACAATATATGTCTTTCTTCTGCGGCCATATAACAAATTGATAACTAAGGTTGATGTGGACGACACTGAATTATTTGGTACATATACCTTTTACCTAAAATTTTTAATAATTATTTTTTCTGCCTATCATTTAAATATCTTATTAATATTTAAATTCAATTAGCGAAATTGTCATGTTGGAGTTGTCAGTCCTTTCGATGAGAAAACAGTTAATTACCTACAAAAAGAAATGGAGCAATTGTTATTATCTTGGCAGAGAACTTCGACTTTAAAGAGGCAACAATCAACTTACACAGCATGGAACCAATGGAAATTGAGCATTTTTCCACCCACTTTTGTTAACTTAGCATCCTCATCAAAGGCCCGAACCTTAAACAACAGATCCAGATTTTTAATTATCGCTTCAGTTGTTGCAGTATATTTGAAGTGAAAGTTCATCAAATCTTAACTCACATTTCTGTTGAGTAATACCACAACATTTCCAAGGTAAATCATTTGTATTTCTGGAACTGTGTAATCTTCCTAATCTTTCATGTATCTATGCGGAGTCTATAACCTCAATTAATTCGCAGGAGCTGGTCGTCCTGCTTGACCAGCACGTTCGTTGGCACACGTCTTCTACATGG